TAGCATTTTGTTTGTGTATTTGCTCCAAGAATTGTTTGCCTGGTTTTGTTAACATTGTGGTGAATGTATGTGGTACAGCTTGCCAACTTCCTCACCCCTCTGGACATTATGCTTGGACTGCTGGCTGCTGCCGCTCATGATGTAGACCATCCAGGGGTCAACCAGCCATTTTTGATCAAAACCAAACACCACCTCGCTGGTCTGTACCAGGTAAGACTGCTTTCTGCAACTATGTTAACATGTGAAATAGGTACCAAGGGCAATCGGACTTTCAGGTTGAGAGCTCCTAGTTGAGCCACAGTTTTTGAGTCTGTGGTTTTAGACTAGATTTTCAGTGGGCATTTTGATGTGCATTGGAAAGATGCTGCGCAAATGAGTGCACATGGTGCCCATACCAATGTCTGCTTCCAACAGTCTTGGCACTGAAGCTGCAGCATGGCTATCTGCTGAAATATTTCTAGGGTGCATGAGCTAGGGCAAGGACCTGTAGATTTGCAGATTAAAATCAGCAAGTGAACAGCCTGTACTTCCTTCTTCCCTCAGGGCATTCACAAGTAGCAGAAGTACTGCACAGCTGGGTTTCAGCGTTATGTGGGCAGTTCGCATGGCACGTTGACCACACCAGTGCATGGGGATATAGTCAAAAGCAATCTCACTGGCAAATACTGCAGATTAAAAAAATAAAGATATTAAAATATGGGAAACAACAGTAAAAGTATATCTACATAAATCCATGCTATTTATGTGCACATTATATATCACATATATAACATTTGTATTTATATCACATACACATCTGCATTCTAGATAGACAGATTTATTGATTTTGGGGATCTATCTATATAGCTCTGTGTGTGTGTGTGTGTGTGTGTGTGTGCGCGCGTGTGCGCGCGTGTGCGCGCGCATGCTTGACAGTGCCAGTACTTAGGGGCTATTTTGATTTTGTCAGTAGTGAACTATGAGAGACATGGTCATACAGGTTTATAATCCATCCATTTTGCTGCCTTCTGCAGTCACTGGATTGGTGTTTCTCACTCTAATGCAGGGGTTTCAGATTTTTTTACGCTTCCCCCCGCCCACATCTGAACCATAAGGCTTCTTGCAAGACAGATCGGGACCTACAGATCCTGTAGTGCTGCGTCAAGCAACAGCAGAGTGAGCAGCACCAGGGAGCTGCAGGCTTAAGAGGGGGTCCTCTTGAGTCACTGTGACAGCAACATGAAATTATATTACTTGTTAACATATTTATAAAACACTGGCTGTAAGACCAGATCTGCATTATTAATAGGGTGGAGGAGAATTATGCAGAGAATATTATCATTCTCTGCATAAATTCTAAACAGCACCTCATTTACAGTTTGAATTTTAATATTTTGAATTGTGAAAGAGCAGCACCTTTATGTTGCCCAACTCAGTTCTGGGCATTCCTAATGATTCTTCATGGTGCTAATTCAGACCTTTTTTTTTTTTTGCCTGTTTCTACAAGCATGAAAGAGGAGAAAGATTTTGCTTAACAAGCTAAAAGTAACTATGTATCATCCAAGTAACATACAAGGATCTTTTCAGGAAAATGTGAGGAGCACTTTGATACTTGTTTATCTGATAAAAAGGATTCTCATTTAGAAAACTACAGGGTAGAACAATAATCATGGAGTTAGAGTAGAAGATACTGTCAGCCTGCCCCTTAAAGTATATTCTATACTAGTATATTGGGATTTTAAAATCAATCTTTTTTCTTTGTGAAGAGCCAATAGGCAATTTGCAAATAGCAGGACATTTACAGTAGAACATCAGTTTTGGCAACTGTACTTGATGTCTAGAGAAGCATCTGCATACCCAGTAGTGAGCTGGAACAACATGTAGCCTTGGAAAATGCTGACTTCCAGCTGCGATGAGTGGAGTTAGGGTCAGGAAACTGGCATGCTTTTCAAATTCAAGAAACACAAAAATGTATGAACTGACTATGATCCATGACTAATAAATGGAGAGCAGACCAATTATTGACTTTCAAAGCTCAGTTTGTAAACTTGGGCCTATCCAAAAAATTCTGGCATGTGGGAGACTGGTAAGGTTTTTAAACCTTATATATGTTAAAGATTCCCCTGAGTAAAGAGAAGAAAGGTTACTAACAGCAGTGTCTTTCTGAGCCTGTTTATAGCACATTCCCAATGTAATGCTTTGCTTAATACTAAAGGAAAGGACGATTCTCTGTTCCTCCTTACCACCATGCTACCCCTCCCCAACAGACACTTAAGGTTTTACAGATAAGATGTTGATTGTGTAACCATTCAACTGTCCTTCTCCCCTGAGATAAAGGAACAGACAGGGCCATGTGAGCCAAGGCCAGGACAAAGCGATGTTCAGATAGTTATGACTTTGTGACTGGCTTAAGTAGCTGAATCAGCTTATGACAAGTCACATGCACACAGCAGGCACAACTACATGCTGCCTTGAGCATTTTGCTCCGGTCTCCTCTAAATGTCAGGGCAATTGGATTGGGTGGGAGTCAGTTGGCTAGTGAAGCAGGTTTAGGATCCTTTGAAAGAGAAGTGGAAAAGATCCATTTTATACAAACCCTGTGATCTGACAACAGAGGATGATGGAGTGGGTCAGCATCTAATGAATATGCAGGAGTATTTACTAACCACAAAACCTGCTTAGACTCAAAATCCAGTCTACTCTTGCAGTGGTAGCTCCTGGTGGGCACCATCTGGATTTTAACTATGATGAGGCAAAGACATATGCACTAAAAAAGAAATGAATATGAAACTCTCTCCAAAGCCCAACCCAAACTGAGTTTGTGCTGGTTTAAATAATGCTGTCCATTTCTGCTCTTCTAGGTTATGATCCAAGCAGGAAGTGGGAACATATATGTAGGCATGTTAGTCGGAAGTCAAATAGAAGGTAGGGTAGATTTGTACTTTATAGACTAACCAAAGTATATATATAGAGAGAGAGAGAATGAGAGAGAAAGACAGCACAAGCTTTTGTGAGCTGTAGCTCACTTTATCAGATGCTATGAAAAGACATGCAGAAAGCCAAGTATAAGAAGGAGAGAGAAATTACAAAAGGGGGGGTGGAAAGGAAGAGAGGGAGTGATAGGGGGAAGAGGGTGCCAAACCACAGAAAAATGAACTATTAGACTGACGAGGCTTATTTTAAAAGCCTTATCTAAAGTTGTGCAAATACCTGGTTTTCAGCATGCTAGCAGTTCCAAAATATCCAGAAAGAAATTTGCCTCAGGGTTGACCTGAAAAAATACTATTTCCCAATTCCCAAATGGTCAAAAAATCATTTTGTTTCCATGTCAAGTGTTTTTAATATGCTTGAAATGAAATTAAGGTAAATTTTGAAACAAAAGGGCATTTTCAACAATATTTATGGACCATCTGTGACTGAATCTGATTTTTTTTTTTTTTTTTTTTT